TTTGAATGTAATCGGGTCATGATCTCTGGTCCCTAGGCAACCAGCACCTTCCAGGCCAGTGATTCATTCATCTTTATCTGTGTATGGTGGAACACCTCTGGGGCTGATGCCAATGGCCTTCAGACCCTGCAGTACCTGCCAAAAGGTGTGGCAAAGGTGGCTGGATAGCTCATTTAGCTCAACACAGCAGAGCCCATTCATGACATCCCATGCAGTGTTGTTTGCAGTGTTGGGCCCAGGATATTAGAGAGACAAGGTGGGTGAGGCCCAGGGCCGGCTCTGGCTTTTTGGCCGCCCCAAGCAAAAAAAAAAATGGGGCGGCCAGAGCGGTAAAGCAAAAAAAAACAAACAAACCCTGCAGCGCAGCCAGAGCCAGGGTGCAGGGGGACTCCCTGCGCTGCAGATGTGCCCTGGCTAGCAGGGGAAGGGGGAGGGAGCAGGGGGGAAAGAGAGAGAAGGGGGGCAGCCAGGGCTTCAGCGGGGCGCTGCCACGCGGCCCCGCCGCCTGCCGGGAGGGCTCTGCGCTGCTCCGGTCGGCTGGGAGGGAAGGACGGCTGGGAGGGAAGGACGCGGGCTGCCCTGCCGGGCTTGCTGCAGGGCGCTCCCGTCCTCCGCGCTGCCGCCCCCTACAGGGCGGCCGGAGCGGAACACCACCAAAAAAAAAAAAAGCGGCCGTGCCGCCCTAGCATTGGGCGGAATGCCGCCTCCTACAAGCTGCCGCCCCAAGCACCGGCTTGCTCAGCTGGTGCCTGGAGCCGGCCCTGGTGAGGCCATATCTTTTATTGGACCAACTTCTGTTGGTGAGAGAGACAAGTGTTGAGATACACAAATGTAGCTTGAAAGCTTGTCTCTTTCACCTACAGAAGGTGGTCTCTGCATTTTGATTGTCTCACAAGCTGCATGTGAGGGTCTGTTTCTATTTTCAGCTTGCCCGCTTGGTGTCCGTCTCCCTGAGATATGTCTTTCCTAATTGCCGAAAGCCCATGCTGTCACACAGGTGTGGCAATTGAGCCAAGTAATTCACCATCTGTGCCATCTCCCTCATATGACCAATGAAACTGTTGCATGCAAGTTAGCTGTAGAGCAAGGATGGTGATTGGTTGAGTTACCTCTGATCTCACAATGGTCTAGAACTCTTGGCCTGGTGTGGATACATGCCTTACTGTAGCTGTACACAACACAGGTGTAATTTGCAAAGTCAAAATGGCTGAGAACTTAACAAATGGACAGTAACAAACTGCGAAACCCAGTGATGATCGAACCTGGTGATATTCTGAACCAAAAGAGCTCACAGCCATGCTTATAGCTGCTTCCATCCCTTCACACTGACTCCACAGACAGTGTAGGCCTCCGAGTGACACACACACACACACGTGACAACTGTGGAATCTTATTATATAGATATTCTGATATAGTGCTGGATAGGGCTCCCAGTGACTGTTCTTCCTCCTCTCAGACGTTGAAGGTATTCTCGTGTTGTGTTATTATCAGATCCATGGCTTGTGCTGCCCAGCAGCGGGTGGTGCTTCTGTATATCAACTACTGTGAGCTCCAAGCAATGTCTCTTGTCTCGTGGGTTTCTTATCAAGCACCTGCATTTGCCCACTAGCCTCAGAATGTATATCTCCAGCACTTAGTCACATTCCTCCAGTCTAATATTGGTGCCCATCATTGTTGCTGGGATTACATTGCAGCTGGCTCTGCAGTCCAGCTGGAGTCCAATCGGTTGTCGATCCAATAGCATAGCTGCAAATATGGCAGTTGAATGGTGGGCAGCTTTCTCCTGCAGTGCATGGACATTGAGTGAGTGTCTCTGGACCTGCTAAAGTTATACTGTAGATCTCCTCTTCCCCACTGGAAGTCTCTACATCCTTAGTCACTACATATACTGGCATGGAGACATAAAGTGGTTCTATATTCCACATCCCTTGCACCATTGTCCATAGGCTGGGCATTTTCCTTTCTGCCTTTCATGCCACTCACTGGACCATGATGGCTGCATTCTTGGCTGATATGTCTCTGTCCTGCTTCCTGGGTTCCTTTAGCTTGAGCCTGTGTACTTGGTCTGCACCAGTCACTGTCACTGTTTTGCTCCTTCCCCAGACAGTTTAGTTGCCCCTGCTGTTTGGAGGCATTTCTCTAGGGTTAGATCGGTTTCTTTCCACAATCTTTCCAGTAAGCTGGAATCATGTGTCCCACAAATGATCCTGTCTCTACTTAGGGAATCTTTAGTGTCTCCAGAGTTACATATGGATGCCTGTGTTCTCAGCTCTTTAACATAATTATCTATTTCCCCTTCTGATTCTTGTTTCCAGGTTAAAAAAGGTATCTCTCTACAATCGCTTTCTCTTCTGGGGTTGCCATATTCAGGCCTGGCTCCCTGCTCTAACCACTAGATTCCACTCCCCTCACCTGAGTTCTGTCCCTGGCTCTGGGAGGAGAATGGGGTATAGTTAAGGCTACGTTTTAGTCATGGGTATTTTTAGTAAAAGTCATGGACAGGTCACAGGTAGTAAGCAAGAATTCATGGCCTGTGACCTGTCCATGACTTGTACTACATATCCCTGAGTAAATCTTGGGTGCTCTGGGGGTGGCGGCTCAGGGGCGCGTGGGTGCTCTTGGGGGGACAGCAGCGTGCAGCCTGGGACCCCCAATGCTACTCGGGGGCGGGCGCGCAGTGGCTCGAGACTGCCCCAGCAGTGGCTGCTGTGGCTGGCCCACAGACTGCCCGAGCTGCTTGGGTGGCCCCCAGGCCAGCCACACCAGCTGCTGCAGAAGTCACAGAGGTCCCAGAAAGTCTCAGAATCTGTGACAGACTCACAGCCCTAGGTATAGTGTGTTGGGGAGTGGGCAGGGGCTGGTCGTCAGGACTCCTGGGTTCTATTCCTGGCTCTGGAAGAGGAGAGAGGGGGAAAGTTAAAGGGAGGGGGTGTTAATTAGATTAATTATGATATTTGCATAGAGGTTCCTTGCAGCCCTGAAAGTCAGGGTGGAACACTGGCTAGAGCACTAGACTGCAATTTAAGAAACCTGAGTTCTGATCCTTGCTCTGTCACAGACCCGTCCTCGCTCTGTGCCTCAGTTTCTCCATCTGTAAAACAGCGATAATGATACTGACCTCCTTTGTACAGTGCTTTGAGATGCACTGATTGAAAGTGCTATATAAGAGCTATGGGTTATTTTATAACTCAAACTTATATTATATATAAAGGGGATGTGATATAGTGGATGATATCCCAAGGAGTAGAAGCTAAGCTGTATCTTGGTATTGGTAGCAGCATTATGCTGAAAACGAATTGTTGGAGAGGAAAAGGCCTGGTTGATATTGCTCTTGGTACGGGCACTGATGGAGTAGGTGAACAGAACAGTGGCAGACATGCCTGCAGGAGTTTGTGTTGCGTTTTGATGAGTACACTGGACCAACTTCATATAGTCCCCAGAGCACCAAGTCCTGGGAGCTCCATCACTGGGGCTGGATGACCAGAAATGGAGCTAAGAGCCACTTTCCTTTGCTTTGGGCTTGGGCTGGGACAGTTCAGGAGTCGCAGAGGCTCCTGTTATCCAAAGTTGTCGCTGACATTGGCCAACGTGAACCTGCAGCCAGATGCACATGCTATATGGAGCCCTTTCTAGGGCCCAAAGATGTGATGGGATTACACTGGACCTTGGATTCAGTTATCAAGCAATACAAACTAGAAAGAAGATGAAACTAACGAACCAGCGAAGACAAGAAGAGGAGTGGCTTGATGACTCCCCACCCAGATTTCAGTGTTAGTCTGTATCAGCAAAAAGAACAGGAGTACTTGTGGCACCTTAGAGACTAACAAATGTATTTGAGCATAAGCTTTTGTGGGCCACAGCCCACTTCATCGGATGCATGTAGTGGAAAATACAGTAGGAAGATATATATATATACACACACAGAGAACATGAAACAATGGGTGTTACAATACACACTCTAAAGAGAGTGATCAGTTAAGGTGAGCTTTTATCAGCAGGAGAGAAAAAGAACTGTTTGTAGTGATAATGAAAATGGCCCATTTCCCCACCCACAGGTAGCTTTGGTGGTGGTGGCGGTGACACCTAGAAACAACTTGACGGGGTGAGGCTGCAGGTGTGCTGAGACCAGACAGCCTCTCATGCTGACCACTACTGTGTTACCTTGTGCTTCCCCATCTCTCTGTCTCTCTACCCCTCTGTTGTCTCCTGGCTTATACTTAGATTGTAGGCTCTGCGGAGCAGGGTCTGTGTGTTCTGCATTTGAACAATGCCTAGCACAATGGGGTCCTGTCTGTGAACCAGGCTCCTAGGCGCTGCGGTAATACACATAATAAATAATCACAATCCTGTAAAATTGCCAGCAGACACGACTCTCGCTGCATGGTTTGGTTGCGAGCTTTCTGGAAAATCGGAAAAGCCACTTGCACTTAAAAAGCAGGCTGACCCCCTCCCCGGCCTCCAGGAGCAGGGCAGCCTGTGACCTTCTGGGAAAGTAAAGTGGGGTCTAATCCGGTTTGTCAGGGAATGGGAGCCGGGGCCTTTCCCCTCTCGGGGCACCAACCCCGATCCAGCCCCAGGGCAGGTGGACTGGCAGGCTCGGGGGTGGGCAATGGGATTTGGGACCTTCCCCCGCCCGTTAGTTACATAACAACAGCACCTGAGGCGCCAGAGCACGGACCAGCCCTTCAGGGTAACGCGTGTGGCAGCGGAGGAGCTCGGAAAGTGAAGTCCTCCCCCATCCCGAAGCACGATTGGCTGCAAAGAGTGTCCGTCTCCCCGGCAGAGCGCACGGATTGGTGGGTGGACAAGGGCCGAGGTTATGAATGGAAAGGCGCTGGGGGCGGGGCGGCAAGCAGGAAGTGGCGGCAGGTGGGGGCTCTGAGCGCGTGTTGTAGCGTGAGTTGGGTGCAGGGCGGGTCTCGCGCACCCTGCCGGGGGGAGGGGCGTGCATAGGGGTCTCGGGGGGAGGGGGAATCCTCAGAGCGGTGGAGGTTCTGGGGGGTGGTGAAGGCCCCCCCGCGGTGCAGGGGGCATAGGCCTTGCCCGGACTGGGGAGGCACCAGGTGTGAGCTGGGGGCTGGGCACAGGGAGAGTGGAAGGGTGTGCACTGGGGTATGTGCAGGCACTTGTGGGTGCAGATGTTGCTGCAATATAAGGGTGCACCGTGCAATGAGGGCACTGTCATGGGGTGTGTGTGATGCTGAGATGTAGCCGCCTCTGGGGTGAGGCGTGGGGGCAGTTTATACAGGATCCCTTATCTAGCCTCCTCTGGGGTGCTGCATCTTGGGGTGGATGTGTCATTGTACAGTTGTGCTTGGTAGGGCAATTGTGTGGTTGTGTAGGTCAGTCAGATAGGCCATTGCATGAGCGTGTGGTTGTGCATGTGACTGTGTCCCTGGTTGTGCACATGCCACATTGGCTCAGCTGTGGGGCAATAGCCCTGTCTGTCCTCATTGACCTTCTGCTGTAGCTGTTATGGGCGGGGACAATAACCAGCCTAGGGATGAATATGGAAGTGGGAAGGGAGTGGGGTCTCGTGGTTAGATCACGGGCTGTGGGTTGGGACTGAGGGGCACCCATGCTCTCCCCACAGGCTGGCCAGCAAGATGGTGGACTCGCAGTACGTGCTGCCCAATGATGTGGGGCTGGCGCTCCTGGACTGCAGCGAGGCCTTCCGGCTGCTGCTGCGGGGCGAGCGGCTCTACGCCCACTACCTGTCACGTGCCTGCTGGTATGGGGGGCTGGTTGTGCTGCTCCAGACCTCACCTGAGGCACCAGCCATTTATGTGCTGCTCTCCCGCCTCTTCCGTGCCCAGGACCCTGACCAGCTGGGGGAATTGGCACGCTCCACTGGCCTCACTGACCAGGAGTACCAGGTACCACCATATCCAGATACCTGGGTTCTGTCTCCAGCTCTAGAAGGGGAGTGGGGTCTAGTGGGTTAGAGCACTGGGGAGGGGCTGGGAGGTTGGTCTCCTGGGTTTCTTTGGCTCTGGGAGGGGATTGGGTGTTAGTAGGTTAGAGTGGGGGGAAGGGAGGGTGGGAGCCAGGATTCCTGGGTTCTCCCTGGCACTGAAGTGCCTGGCTGGACCCTGATCATTCCTCTCCGCACCTAGGCGTTCCTGGTTTACGCTGCTGGCGTCTTTTCCAACATGGGGAACTACAAATCTTTTGGGGACACCAAGTTTGTGCCCAACTTGCCCAAGGTGAGTCTGTGGATGCAAGGGGCAGAGGGAGAGGCCACATGCCAGAGTCATGGGAGTGGAACATATTTTGGAGTCTCCATGGGGAGACACTGCTCCCCAGACACAGCATCATCCTCTTGCCAAGAGCTCTGTGCCAGATGCCTTCCCTCTCATTGGCTATGGGGCAGGTCCCTGATTGAGTTGAATGTTCCATGGAGGGAGACTGTTTGGCCCTCCCTCACCCCATGGCTCCAGCCCACTTATCCCCCCCTCCATCACAGCTCAATCCCTGTACCCCTTTCCCCCCAGGACAAGCTCCGGCGGCTGATCTGGCAGAGCCAGGCATTCCAGGAGCAGCCAGAGGAGATGAAGTTGCTGTGGGATAGGTGTGGGGAGCTGATGTTCTCGCTGGACCCGCAGCAGAGACAGCTGGGGCTTAGAGAGAAGGTAATGCCCCATGCATACACACATGATGATTCTAGTCTGGGGAGGGGTGGGGGTTGAGAGCAACCAGGATGGATTGATTTAAATAATCTATTGTCATCTTGTTTTGCCTTTGTACTTTTTAGTTGTTTTCCTAAAGAAAGGTTTATTCTCATTGGTTATTATAAATCATTCAAACAGGCTGATTTATAGATTCATGAATTCTAAGGCTACGAGGAACCTCTGCGGTCATCTAGTCTAATCTCCTGTATAACACAGGCCATAGGACTGCCCTGAATTAATTCCTGGTTGAACTAGAGCAGTGGTTTTCAAACTTTTTTCCGGGGACCCAGTTGAAGAAAATTGTTGATGCCTGTGACCCAACGGAGCTGGGGATGAGGGGTTTGAGGTGTGGGAGGGGCTCAGGGCTGGGGCAGAGGGTTGGGGTGCGTAGGTGAGGGCTGTGAGGTGGGGCCAGGAATGAGGGGTTCAGGGTGTGGGAAGGGGCTCTGGGCTGGAGCAGGGGGTTGGGGTGCAGGAGGGGGTCAGGGCTCTGGGCTCGGGCTGCAGGTTCTGGGCTAGGGCTGCGGATGAGGAGTTTGGGGTGCAGGAAGGGCTCTGGGTTTGGGGGAGCTCAGGACGGGGGCAGGGGGTTGGAGCGTAGGAGGGGGTAAGGGCTCTGGGTTGGGGGTGCAGGCTCTGGGGTGGGGCCGGGGATTAGGGGTTTAGGATGCAGGAAGGGGTTCCAGGTTTGGGGGGGCTCAGGGCTGGGGCAGGGGATTGGAGCACGGACTTACCTCCGGTGGCTCCCGGTCAGCAGCGCAGCCGGGGTGCAGAGGCAGGCTTCCCGCCAGTCCTCGCACCGCGGACCGTGCTGCACCTGAAGCAGCCAGCAGCAGGTCCGGCTCCTAGGCAGAGGCACGCAAGTGGCTCCGCGCAGCTCTTGCCTGCAGGCACCGCCCCTCCCCCAGCTCCCATTGGCTGGGAACTGGCCAATGGAAGTGCGGAGCCGGTGCTTGGGGCAGGGGCAGTGCACGGAGCCCCGTGGCCCCCCTGCCTAGAAGCTGGACCCGCTGCTTGCCACTTCCAGGCCGCAGCATGGTGTCAGAATAGGTAGGCACTAGCCTGTCTTAGCTGGGCAGCACCGCCGACGGGACTTTTAACGTCCCGGTCGGCGGTGCTGACCAGAGCGACCCAGTGCCTTCCATGCTGCGACCTGACCCAAACTTTGAAAAACGCTGAACTCGAGCACTAAATTAAGGCGGAAGCTTTTGTGCAGAACAGAAACTGAAAGAGCTGTGGTTTGAGTTAATGCAGATAGCAAAGTTTGCTCATTGTCAAACTAATGGCGTGCCCAGGTCTCACTCTGCTCCAGCCTCAGGACACACAGGCCGTTGTGACATGTATAAAGCTTGACTCGTCCTCAGCCGTTAAAGATGGTTTAGCTCCAATTGCTCATATAATTACACAAGCCGTGCACTTTCCCCCTTAAAGATTTGAGGAGGGCTCATCCATGCAGCATATTATATTATTGTGTATTTCTTTCAGTGTTTCTATTGGTTTGCAGTAAGTTTTGGCCTTGCCAGAGCCTATCAGGAGTTCAAACTGAATTTGAAACACATTGAAGAACAGTTAGCCAAAGAATCAAAAAGTTAATAGCACTTTTTTTTTTAAAGGATATCAGAAGCAAAAAGCCTGCTAAACAACCAGTGGGGCCACTGGACAATCGAGAGGCTAAAGGAGCACTCAAGGATGATAAGGTCATTGCAGAGAAACTAAATGAATTCTTTGCATTGGTCTTCACGGCTGAGAATGTGAGGGAAATTCCCAAACCTGAGCCATTCTTTTTAGGTGACAAAGCCGAGGAACTGTCACAGATTGAGGTGTCATTAGAGGAGGTTTTGGAACAAATTGATAAACTAAACAGTAATAAGTCACCAGGACCAGATGGCATTCACCCAAGAGTTCTGAATGAACTCAAATGTGAAATTGCAGAACTATTAACTGTGCTTTGTGTCATTTAAATCAAATGACTGGAGGATAGCTAATATGATCAGTTAACTCACGCGGTTAACTCAAAAAAATTAATCGCCATTAATCACACTGTTAAACAGAATACTAATTGAAATTTATTAAATATTTTTGGATGTTTTTCTAAATTTTCAAAATATCAATTTCAATTACAACACAGAATACAAAGTGTACAGTGCTCACTTTATATTATTTTTTATTACAAATGTTTGCACTGTAAAAACGATAAACAAAAGAAATAGTATTTTTTCAATTCACCTCATACAAGTACTGTAGTGCAATCTCTTTATCATGAAAGTGCAACTTACAAATGTAGGTTTTTTTGTGACATAACTGCACTCAAAAACAAAACAAAACTTTAGAGCAGGGGTGGGCAAACTTTTTGGCACAAGGGCCACATCGGGGAATAGAAATTGTATGGCGGGCCATGAATGCTCATAAAATTGGGGTTGGGGTGCTGGCTCTGGGGTGGGGCTGGGGATGAGGAGTTTGGGTTGTAGGAGGGTGCTCTGGGCTGGGACCGAAGGGTTCGGAGGGCAGGAGGGGATCAGGGCTGGGGGAGGGGTGCAGGTTCCGGCTGGTGGTGCAGCTCTGGGGTGGGGCTGGGGATGAGAGGTTTGGGGTGCAGGAGAGTGCTCCGGGCTGGGATCGAGGGGTTTGGAGAGGGGAATCAGAGCTGGGGCAGGGAGTTGGGGCATGGGGAGAGGCTCAGGGGATGCAGGCTCCAAGTGGCGCTTACCACAAGCGGCTCCCAGAAGCAGTGGCATGTTCCTTCTCCAGGTCATACGCGGAGGTGCAGCCAGGCGGCTCTGCTCGCTACCCCATCCGCAGGTGCTGCCCCTGCAGCTCCCATTGGAGCATGTAGGAGCCGGAGCGGGGCCATCCCGCAGCTTCCGGGAGCAGCGTGGTGTGGCCCCGACCCAGCATCCCGGCCGGAGCAGGGCCAAGCCATGTGGTGCAGCCGTGACCCAGCGCCCCCGCCGGAGCAGGGCCAAGCCACTGATGCGGCTCGCAGGCCATCTTAAAACGGCTCCGGGCCATAGTTTGCCCTCTCCTGCTTTAGAGCCTACAAGTCCACTCAGTCCTACTTCTTATTCAGCCAATCGCTAAGAGAAACAAGTTTGTTTACATTTACAGGAGATAATGCTGCCCACTTCTTAATTACAGTGTCACCTGAAAGTGAGAACAGGTGTTCACATGGCACTGTTGTAGCTGGTGTTGCAACAGACTTACGTGCCAGATGCGCTAAAGATTCATATACCTCTTCATGCTTCAGCCGTCGTTCCAAAGGATATTCTTCCATGCTGATGTCGCTCATTAAAAAAATAATGTGTTAATTAAATTTGTGACTGAACTCCTTGGGGGAGAATTGTATGTCCTCTGCTCTGTTTTATCCGCATTCTGCCACATATTTCATGTTATAGCAGTCTTGGATGATAACCCAGCACATGTTGTTCGTTTTAAGAACACTTTCACTGCACATTTGACAAAATGCAAAAAAGATACCAATGTGAAATTTCTAAAGATAGCTGCAGCACTCAACCCAAGATTTAAAAATCTAAAGTGCCTTCCAAAATCTGAGAGGGACAAGGTGTCGAGCATGCTTTCAGTCTTAAAAGAGCAATACTCTGATGTGGAAACTACAGAACCCAAACTACCAAAAAAGAAAAATCAACCTTCTGCTGGTGACATCTGACTCAGATGACGAAAATGAATTTGCATCAGTCCGCGTTGCTTTGGAACATTATCAGGCAGAACCCGTCATCAGCATGGACGCATGTCCTCTGGAATGATGGTTGAAGCATCAAGGGACACGTGAATCTTTAGCACATCTGGCATGTAAATATCTTGCAACGCTGGCTACAACAGTGCCATGCAAACACCTGTTCTCACTTTCAGGTGACATTGTAAACAAGAAGCAGGCAGCATTATCTTCTGCAAACGTAAACAAACTTGTTCGAGCGATTGACTGAACGAGTAGTAGGACTGATTGAACTTGTAGGCTCGAAATTTTTACATTGTTTTATTTTTGAATGCAGGTTTTTTTGTACATAATTCTACATTTGTAAGTTCAACTTTCATGATAAAGAGATTGCACTACAGTACTTGTATTAGGTGCATTGAAAAATACCATTTCTTTTGTTTTTTTACAGTGCAAATATTTGTGTTAAAAAATAAAGTGAGCACTGTAGACTTTGTATTTTGTGTTGTAATTGAAATCAATATATTTTAAAATGTAGAAAACATCCAAAAATATTTAAATAAATAGTATTCTATTATTGTTTAACAGCACAATTAATTGCAATTAATTTTTTTTAATAGCTTGACAGCCCTAGTTGAAACTATAGTAAAGAACAAAATTGTCAGACACATAGATGAACTTAATTTGTTGGGGAAGAGTCAACATGGTTTTTGTAAAAGAAAATCATGCTTCACCAATCTACTAGAATTCTTTTAGGGGGTCAACAAGCACGTGGACATGGGGGATCCTGTGGATACAGTGTACTTAGATTTTCAGAAAGTCTTTGATGAAGTCCCTTACCAAAGGCTCTTAAGCAAAGTAAGTTGTCATGGGATAAGAGGGAAGATAGAAAACAAAGGGTAGGAATAAATTATCAGTTTTCAGAATGGAGAGAGGTAAATAATGGTGTCCCCCAGGGATCTGTACTGGGCCCAGTCCTATTCAACATATTTATAAATGATCTGAAAAAAGGAGTAAACAGTGAGATGGCAAAATGTGCAGATGATACAAAACTACTCAAGATAGTTAAGTCCCAAGCAGACTGCGAAGAGCTACAAAAGAATCTCACAAAACTGGGTGACTGGGCAACAAAATGGCAGATGAAATTCAATGTTGATAAATGCGAAGTAATGCACATTGGAAAACATAATCCCAACTATACATATAAAATGATGGGGTATAAATTAGCTGTTACCACTCAAGAAAGAGATCTTGGAGTCATTGAGGAGAGTTCTCTGAAAACATCCACTCAATGTGCAGCAGCAATCAAAAAAGCGAATAGAATGTTGGGAATCATTAAGAAAGGGATCAATAATAAGACAGAAATATCATATTGTCTCTATATAAATCCATGGTATGCCCACATCTTGAATACTGCTTGCAGATGTGGTCGCCCCGTCTCAAAAAAGATATAATGGAATTGGAAAAGTTTCAGAAAAGGGCAACAAAAACGATTAGAGGTACGGAACAGCTTCCCTATGAGGAGAGATTAATAAGCCTGGGACTTCTCAGCTTGGAAAAGAGACGACTAAGGGTGCTATGATAGAAGTCTATAAAATCATGACTGGTGTGGAGAAAGTAAATAAGGAAGTGTTATTTACTTCTTCTCATAACACACAAACTAGAGGTCACCAAATGAAATGAATAGGTAGCAGGTTTAAAACAAACAAAAGGAAGTATTTTTTCACACAACACATAGTCAACCTATGGAACTCCTTGCCAGAGGATGTTGTGAAGGCCAACAGGGTTCAAAAAAGAACTAGATAAATTCATGGAGGATAGTTCCATCAATGGCTATTAGCCAGGATGGGCAGGGATGGTGTCCCTAGCCTCTGTTTACCAGAAGCTGGGAGTGGACGACAGGGGATGGATCACTTGATGATTACCTGTTCTGTTCATTCCCTCTGGGGCACCTGGTATTGGCCACCGTTGGAAGACAGGATACTGGGCTAGATGGACCTTTGGTCTGATCCAGTATGGCTGTTCTTATGTTCTTATTTTCTTTGGAAAGAGAAATTGATAGAATGATTAAAAAATTGATGTAAAGTAAAAAATGTGATTTAAAAAAATGAATTTCTATCCGCCCTGGCAGCCCGAGAAGATGAGGGGTCAGTGGGCATGGCTGGCGGCAGGGGTGTCTCAGTGGGCGTGGCTGACAGCAGGGAGACGGGGTGCCTCAGTGGGCGTGGCTGGTGGCAGGGAGATGGGGGTTCAGTGGGCATGGCTGGCGGTGGGGAGGGGTGTCTCAGTGAGCGTGGCTGGCAGCAGAGAGATGGGGGGTCAGTGGGCATGGCTGGCGGCAGGGAGGGGATGTGAGAGCGGTTTCAGTTGGTGGCGGGGAGGGGGGTTAGTGGTCTCTCTGTAACACCCTGCCCTCCCCCTCAGGGTACCACCACCTATTTCTCTGGGAACTGCTGTTTGGAGGATGCCCAGCTAGCCCAGAAATTCCTCGACTCGCAGGTACTTGCTGGCGCGCTGACATGGGACATCTCCCCGGTTCCCCCCAAGCAGCCCCAAGGCCTGACCACCTCCGTGGGGTGTCTCTGCTGCCTCTGCATTGCTACGGCCCTTGTGTCCATAGGGCAGTGCCCAGCATCAGACCTCCTGGGGTCTGCGCCCTCCAGGTTTCCCATCCCCTACTCTGATTCCAGTGCCTCTGCATGGGGTTGTAGGGTGCCCACTGAAGTCGGGGGTCAGATGGGGTAAATCTCCCACCCCCTCCAACACCATCTCTGCATCTTTCAGAACATCAGTGCCTACAACACACGGCTCTTCAAGGAGAAGGACAAGGCAGGGCAGACATGCTACGAGGTGCGACTGGCATCAGTGCTGGGCACTGGTAAGACTCCCTCTTCTCTGCCCCCTCACTGCTTGGATCCCCCTGGTCTGTGCTCCCCACAGTGCCCACCTACCTGAGCTCCTCTGACCTGTGCTTCCCGGATCTCTCCCCAATCCCCCAACCTGTACTCCCCCCTCACCTGCTGCCTGGATCCCACCTCCATGCTTAGCTCCCGGCCTGTGCTCCCCACTCTCTCCCTTCCCCCATTGAATTATCTGTCTCTCTGGGTCTCTCCCCAGATGCACCCGTCGACCATGAGCTGGCCCCCAAGCTACGCAGCTTTGAGTTTGAGGGCTGCACGTTCCGTGTGACCCGCGGGGACTACGCACCCCTGCTGGAGAGAGTGGTGGAGAACCTACAGCGCACCAAGGCATGTGTCCCCCTGCCGCCACCGCTCTGTGTGTGTACTGAACTGTGGGGGGCTCTGTGGTGGGGGGGAGGGAGGTCTCTCTCAGTGGCTTTTGTAGGTTTTAAACCCTAACTCTGCCACCAAGGGGAAACCTTAGTTTTATATCCAGAGAGAGAAGATAGTCTTAGGGACAAAGGACTGAGAGCCTGGACTCCTGGGTTCTGTTCCCAGTTCTGGGAGGAGAGTGGGGAGGAGCTGGGAGCCAGGACTCCTGGGTTCTCACTTCCTGGGGTTGAGATGGTGATGTGGGAGGAGGAATTTATTGGGGGATGGGGAGAGGAATGGCTGAAGCCAGATGAATAGTCGTTGATGAGCTACGTGTCTACCCCTCTTCTCTCCCAGGCTCATGCTGCCAACACCAACCAGGAGCACATGCTGGAGCATTACATCCGTAGCTTCACTCAGGGCTCCATTGCGGCCCACAAGGAAGGTTCTCGCTGCTGGATCCGTGACAAGGGGCCTATTGTCGAAAGGTGGGGGCTGGGAACCGGGACTCCTGGGTTCTGTCCCCAGCTGTGGGAGGGAAGTGGGGTTCAGTGGGTTAGAGCAGGGAAGGCTGGCAGCCAGGGGTTTTGAGAGAAGTCAGGTGCCAGGTGCGGGGGGGGCTGGGAGAGGAGAGGGGTTTGTTGATAGGGACATTCGCCTCCTGGGATCAGCGAACCAGGGGGCTTGTCTCTTAGAGCCCCCCCAGTCCAGGGCAGGCCAGGCCATTTAATGTGCTCTCTCCCTCCACAGTTACATCGGCTTTATTGAAAGCTACCGAGACCCCTATGGCTCCCGGGGGGAGTTTGAAGGTAAAACACGAGGCCCCCAGATCCCAGCCTCAAAGGACCCTGGGGAACCAGGAGGGGTTGGAGTAGTGGGAGGGAGGGGATGGGTAGGTTGTGGACGTGTGTGTGTGTGTTGTTCTGGGTGTGCTTTTGTGCTGTAACTGTGTTAGGGTGTTTGCTGGGGGGAGTTGGTTGTGTAGTCGTGTAATGTCATTCTTTCAGTGGGGGGTGTGGCTGTGTGTCCCTTGCAATTGTGTACTGTAGGTGTGTTTTGGAGATGGTGGTCGTATATTGTAATTGCTTTGTGGGAGTTGTAGGGGGGGGGTATAGTTTTGTGCGACTGTTGGGGTGTTTTGTGGGGGATTGCGTTCTTCAGTGGGTTTGGGGGGGTTGAGGTGGTGATGGTGGACAGAGGGTGGCTGGCTGGCAGGGATGGGGCAGTACTAGCCAGCCCCGTCCACAGCACCCGCTTTCCCCCCCACCCCCCTCCCAGGATTTGTGGCCGTCGTGAACAAGGCCATGAGCGCCAAATTTGCGCGGCTGGTGGAGTCGGCTGAGCAGCTGCTGCTGGAGCTGCCCTGGCCCCGTGCCTTCGAGAAGGACACCTTCCTCACGCCGGACTTCACCTCGCTGGATGTGCTGACCTTCGCAGGCAGTGGGATCCCGGCTGGCATCAACATCCCCAACTGTGAGCACTACCCACAATCCTCTGTGCCTGCGCCCCTGCCCACAGTGCTCTGCACCTCCCCAGGGGCTACCCAAAATCCTCTTTGCCTGCATCCCTTCCCAGAATCCCATGTGCCTCCCAGGAGCTATCCACAATCTTCTTCCACCCTGACACTATCCACAATCCCCTGCATCTGCATCCCAGCCATTGGCACGGGAGACCAGACCACATGTAAGGCCCGCTGGTCTGTCCCCTTGACATGCTCTCACCTCATGGTGAGTGCTGGCCTCAATGCCCTAGCAAGGCCCTATGGGGCACTATGCTGCAGGGAGGATTCAGTAGGGGGTGTTTTCCCCTTGCAATCAGTTCTGACCCCAATGCAGCACTAGGGGGCACTGTGCTGCAGCGAGCAGGGTGGAGGGTACAATAGGCGCTCTTGTTACACTCCAGTCCAGGGACAGTTTTAAAACTGGAGTTTTATTAAGCTCTGTATCAAAACCTGAACACACCCACACACGTTGCACAAGCCCCATTACTGCTCAGTGCTTTCAGAGCACAGATGCTGCTGCTGCAACCAGAACTTCCCCTTTGGACCCCCTTGGCAGACCTTCAATCTTTAAAGGGACATGGCACAGGTAAATCTAACCCTGACATTCCCTTTAGAGTACTACATTCCCCCCATTCATGTAATGTCTTCCCAAGCAAAATAGAAACCAGTCCATCAGTTTGAGTTATTAGCAATAGTCCCAGCACATCATTGTCATTTGAGCCTCTCATCTGTCACAAGATCTGGGACTGATGGTGGGACCTTCTGCAGCTCTCTCCCATTTATTTCACATTCAGCAGAAAGTTTCTGCAGCAATTTTAGTTCCGCTGTCCAACAGAATAGTCAGTTCTGAACACCTTCAATTAGGGTGACCAGATGTCTCTATTTCATAGGGACAGTCCTGGTATTTGGGGCTTTGTCTTATATAGGCGCCTATTACTCCCCACCCCCTGTCCCAATTTTTCACACTTGCTGGTCACCCTACCTTCAGTCCCCAAAGATGTTCATATCTTATGGAATAACAGTTCCTATGCGATCGGTGGCATCACCATGTAACTCCAAGTCACTAGGCATATGGCAAGCTACTTAGAAAAACACACTAAATTAACAGAATTACAAACTATCCAGAGCCGTAAAACGCTGTAGATCCACATCCACAGTGTAATTCAATATCCCCTACATCAGTCTTGGATAGAATGCCGGATAAGGTGCAGGAATAGGTACTGGGTATGACATGTGACAAACATGAGGACACCCTCCTGGTGCATTCACCGGTCCAATAGTTGGATTTAGTTATTGATAAGTAGGTGCCCTAACTGTTCCTATATCAGCATCTGCGGGGCTCTTCTCTTCCTAGTCAGCCGACCCTGTGTGTCAGTGATCTGTCCTCCGGGGAGCATTGTTGGTTTCAGGTTCCATGGTCACATTTTGATAATCCTGTCTTTCAATGGCTCTTGCAAATGTCCTATCAATGTGACCAGCAGTTTCCAAACGTACAGGGTCAACAGGATCCTCATTTCCCAGCTGGGGAAGAAATATTTGTGGATTCAGAGTCTCTGTGGCATGGGCAGCATCGGATATCATCAGCAATGTAGTTCATCTTCACTCTCACTTTGAGTCCCTGGAGTCTGAATTCCTGTCCTCATCTGGATTTCCTTTGGTGTTAGTTTGCCTTGTCCTGTGTGTCTTCTGTAGTGGTGTTACATCCAAGGGGAAGTCATAGGGAAGTAGAAGATAGGGTTCTTCACTGAAAACATTTCCTTTCCTGTCTTCTGCTTGTGCTTCATAGACTAGACCAGGGGTAGTCAATAGGCGGATCATGGGCCCAATCTGGATCGCCAGATGCTTTTGAACATCTTTTTATTTACTTATTATTATCGTTGTTGTTGTTGGGTTTTATTATTTTCCCTGGAGTCTGGACTTTGACTATACCTTGACCAAGAAATTTGGACTTTGACCAATATATAATTGAATACCCCTGGACTAGACTGTCCCCTTCCCTGTGAAGTACTACATGATTTTTTTATCTTCCCACTACAATCTTAATTTGTCTGGTCCCCTTCTCTCTGGGAGACTCTGGACGAGTACTGGTGCACTTTCTAATCACAGTGATTCCTTTCATGAGTAGCAGATTTTTGAGAACATGTTGATGCTGGTTTGTAAGCTTCTTTCATCTGCTGTTTTCATTTCTCAGCATAATCTTTACGGTTCCCAGGTACAGATTGAGAGTTTATAGATCAACCAAATGCAACGTCAATGGGCAAATATGCTGAACTTCCATATAATAAACAGAAGGATGAGAACTGAGTAGCTCATTTCATGTACAGTTATAGGCAAAAATCACTTTATTAAGGGAATCCTACCAATTTGACTTTTGTTCTTCCGGCAAGGTTTTCAACCTACTCAGCGGAGCCTGATTCAGCCTTTCCACGTGCCCTTTGCCCCATGGATGCTTTGGAGTTGTGCAGGGAGTTTCAGTTTTACTGTAGTGCTGTAACCTTTGGAATAAATGATTTTCAAACTCTGCCTCTTGGATCCTTTGGGGGAAACCAAATTTTAAAACAGTCACCGAAGATCTAGTCTGCCATGGTGTTTCCTGACTCGGTGGTGGGAGGGAAGGCTTAGACATACCTAGTGAAGTGATCCCTTATGACTAAGATGTATTCCTATCCTCCTTTGCTTCTATCCAGATGCAAGAAGTCTCTTGATACAAGCCCAAATGGTTCTGTTGTAACTGTGAGTTAATGGTGCTCTGGTAGGCTGGTGAGGGTTCTTTTGCTTGTCGCGTGGACAGACTCTAGTGACAATGTCTGTCTCTCTTCGTCTGTGGCCAATAAAACCAATCTCTTGCAAGACTGATTACTTGCTCTGCTCCTCAATGTCCCATCTCTTCATGTGGTTCTTGATGTACCTGCTTTTGGATTTTTCAAGTAATACGAGGTAGCTTGGTTTCCAGTAAAGTCATATCTGTAGCACAGCATCATATTTTCAGTGAGAATCAGACTTGTGAGGCAGACAGTACTTTCTGTCTCAGATCAAGGGCTGGGAGTAGCAAATCCTGAGATGTGTCATCTTGTGCTGCTCTTGAGAGCTGCAGGGGAAGTTCAGTTGCATCTTTTTCCTGGTAATAGGACCTTAATATACCCTCAGTTTTGGCAGGCTCTGATTAGTTTTTCCCTCCAAGTAACTCCTGAAGCTCAGTCCTGGGCAAACTGCCCTGATCACAGCTTCCATTGTCTCTGCCTCAGCGTACCCCTTTTGAATTCCACTCTCAGTTTGATAAGCCAGACTGTTTAGGCTTAGCCTGTCCTCTTGGTTGGCGTTCCCAGTTTGTCTTGTTGTTTTAAAATCTTTCCTTAGACTTAGTTCTATTTTCTGGGCTGGGGGTGGCAGATTTTCCACAGGGGTTTGGCTTGTTAATTTCATTCATGCTTTCCTGAGACTGTATTTCAAGCCATTTAAATATTTCAGCACTCTGTGTCTGAATTGTCTCTTCTTCAGTTGTTTCTGTTTGCTCCCCGTTTGCTGCAGCGATGATCTTATCTTGTAATGCCAGCAACGTAGACAGTCTCTGATCCTCCAACTCTTCCTGCAATGGTTTACATATTTGATTAAAGCAAGTCAACATTTTGCTGCAGTTTCACTGCGACTTGTTCCAGAAATGCCCAGAGAGTCGCAGACCATCCTTTGGCTGGTATAAAAGTCCTCCTACCTCCATGTGACAGTCCTCTAATGCTCTCCCAGCCAAAGTGTTTGTAAATAATGAAATCTTCCCTGGCAGCTTTCCCTGGAACAGTTTACAGCAGCTTCTAGGGAGGTTCATCTCCTGGAGAAGTCAGATCACTGCAGTTCAGCCTCTCCTGGCTGGGAGTGTAACTCTCCCCTCTCCTAGTCACTGCTGACCCTAGTGCGGTGCTGGGGGCCCTGTGCTTCAGGGAGAAGGTTTGGGGCCACAGTGTGGGGCAGGTGGGGCTGAGCCAAGTGTCTGCTTCCCCCACCTCTCCAGATGACGACATCCGCCAGACCGAAGGTTTCAAGAATGTGTCCCTGGGCAACGTGCTGTCAGTGGCTTATGCCACCCAGAAGGACAAACTGACCTTCCTCGCTGAGGAGGACAAGGTGTGTGGGAGCCCAGAGCTGTGGGTCAGGGTTGAGGGGCATCGGCAGAGCTGTGGGGGTTGGGGCAAGGCCAGGGCTGGGATAGCAGCGGTTCTGGGTTGGGACTGAGGGGCACTGTGAGAGCTGGTCAGGAGCCGGTGGCTGGGATAGCGGGGGGGCAGTGGGTCAGGATTGAGGGGCACTGGCAGAGCTGGGGGGCTTTGGGAGAAGGCCAAGGCTGGGATAACATGGATTGTGGGTTGGGAGGAAGGGGCACTGCACACCATAGCTGGCTGAGGCTGTGGGTCTCTTGCAGGACTTGTACATTAAGTGGAAGGGGCCATCATTTGAGGTGCAGGTCGGGCTTCACGAGCTGCTGGGGCATGGCAGTGGGAAGCTCTTTGTGCAGGTAAGCACCCCCTTGGCAGGGGATGGGGGTGGGGGAGGGGGAAAGGATCCCTGTATAAACAGCCCCTGTGCTCCACCCCAGAGGAGGCTGCATCGCCGCTGCAGGCGAGGGATCCCTGCACACAGTGTTTGGGGTGATGCTTCTCCCCTTGGGCTAGCACAGCTGGTGCGGCGCAGCAGTGCTGGCTGAGGGTGGATGCTAACGTCTCCCCCATTCCACAGGAGGAGAAGGGCACCTGTAACTTCGACAGAGAGGCTGTGATCAACCCGGAGACGGGGGAACTGGTAAGGGGGCTGGGAGGGAAAGTGATGGCGATGGGGGAGGGTGGGGAGAGTAATAATCTTAATGGGGGAAGGGAAGTGGCAGAGCCAGCTTACACTGAACATCTGTGATCACCTTGGGGTGCCCCCCACCTGCCAGCCCTGCACCCCAACCCCTATAATGTCCTCATGCGTGTCTTCCCCAGACCCCTCCTCCCCACATTACCTATAGGGTCCCATTGGGTATCAGTCCCAGCCCCCTAGCCCTGCCCCCCACATTGCCTATAGGGTTCCCTCAAGTGCCAGCCCTGCCCCCTAACTTTGTCCCCCCACAGATCCAGAGCTGGTACCGGGGCGGCGAGACGTGGGACAGCAAGTTCTCCACCATCGCATCGAGCTACGAGGAGTGTCGGGCCGAGTGCGTGGGGCTCTACCTCTGCCTCAACAAGGACGTGCTCCGGTGAGGGGCCTGGGTTGGGGGGACAAGGCCTATCGCCAGGGCTGGAGACCATAGGCGGGTGGGGAGGGTCACCTGGATGGTGGGGGTGGCTGTCATGGGGGGGGGGTCATATTACCTGGGTATGGAGAGGACGGTGAGTGGTGAGGTGGGGGCTGTCACTGGGGACTGTGAGACAGTGGTGGGGAGGCTGGGGGATGGCAGGGTCTGGGGCTCAGGATAATGCTGCTGTCCTGCAGATACCCAGAGGGGCGTGTCCTTGCACTTGTTGCTGCCCCCCACTGTCAGCAAGTCCTGTCCCCCCCCGGCTTTTGTATCCAGGCCCCCCACATCCAGACACATCCCCTGTTCTATGGTGTGGGACCTGGTGTATTTGCAGGGGGCTCATCGGGGGTGGATCACGGATGGGGGAACCTTGCGGAGTTTTGGGGGGGTCATGGCTGGGGGGACAGAGGGGGTACCCTGCAGAATTTGGGAGAGTTGGTCTCAGAATTCAGCAACAGTCCCCCCAGTGGGGGGGATGGGAGGTTGGGGGTTCCCCAGTAGGCCTCCCTCACTCCCTCCTGCCCCCCACAGGATTTTTGAGCTGGAAGGCGAGGATGCGGAAGACGTGATCTACATCAACTGGCTGAACATGGTGCGGGCTGGGCTGCTAGGCCTGGAGTTCTACACCCCTGAGACCGGCACCTGGCGCCAGGTGAGTTGGGGGTGGGAGGGCACTGGCCCTTTAAAAGGGAGGCAGGGCAGCCTTTGACTCCTCCTCTGGGGGGGGTGGCAGGCAGGGCTGTAGTGTGTGGGGGGAGCCAGGGTTCTATCCCAGCCCTGGGAGGGGAGTGGGATCTAGTGGATTAGAGCGGAGGGGGGCTGGAAGCCAGGACTCCTGGGCTCATCACTGCACCTTGCTGCTCTCCCCCAGGCTCACATGCAGGCGCGCTTCGTGATCCTGCGGGTGCTGCTGGAGGCAGGCGAGGGGCTGGTGTCGCTGCAACACACCACGGGCGCTGACGGCAAACCCGATGCACTCATCACTCTTAACCGCAACAAGATCCTGCCTGTGGGGAAGCCGGCCATTGAGCGGTTCCTGCGCAGGCTGCAGGTGAGGGGTAGGGCAGGGCTGCAGGGAGCAAGCTGGGGGCTCAGTAGGGGGCGCTCTCCTCTCACAGTCAGTGCTGGCCCCAATGGGGGTGCTGTGCTACTCGACAATGGGGCTCAGTGAGGCAGTGCTTGTTCTTGTGAGGGGGACCATGATGGGGGTGGTGGGGCCATGGCTGTGTTGTGGGGGCATGGGGCGGTTCTGCCGGGGGCGGCCTGGCTGGGTCTCAGCCCCCTTTGTGTTGCAGGTGCTGAAGTCGACGGCGGATGTGGCGGGGGGCCGGGCGCTCTACGGGGGTTTCTCAGCCGTGACAGACGAGGGGCCTGAGCGTTTCCTGAGCCTGCGCGACACGGTGCTGCTACGCAAGGAGGCACGCAAGATGTTTGTGCAGGCCAACACCCGCCTGGAAGGTATGGAATCCCCCGGCACTGCCCAGCCTTCTATCTACCTCACTACGGGGTAACACTGCCTGGAGGGTATGGAGTCCCCCCGATTCCCCCATGCACCCTGCTCTGGGGTGACACTCACGTGGCGGGTACAGTTCTGCCACACAACTCCCACCCAGCTGCCCCCCTCAGGTAACTGAGCCTTGGTTTACCCCAGTCCTATGCCAGCTGGGAGTTCAGACCCGTGGGGCATTGGTGCCAGGTGGAGAGGGCGCCGAGAAGGTGTGGTGGGCTAAGATTGGAGCCCATGAGGGGTGATTGACGTGACAAGGTAGGGGCAGGTGGAAGGGTACAGGAGCAGGGGGTGGGTGCAATACAGAGGGCTGTGATGGAGCAGGGGGTGGGGGAAACACCGTGACCCCCTCTCACCTCCTCTGCCTCTGCAGGCAAGAACATGAGACATGACCTGTGTGTGTGTGTGTGAGAGAAAGAGAGAGAGAGAAAGGAGTGGGGTGAAGGTGAGGTGGGGGGCTTGATGAGGGCGATGCCATGACCCTGTCTCCCCCCTCCTCCTCAGGCGAGGATGTGACCCTGGTGCAGTACGAGGGTACCGCAGCCGGACTGATCCGCTCCTTCTCCGAGCGATTCCCTGAGGATGCTGAGCTCTTGGAGCGCCATCTGCTGGAACTGTCGGACGCCGATTCCCACTTCTGGGCAAGCCGGGGCTGAGAACAGGGAGACCCAACCCCCCCACTGCACAGGGGACTCAATACACTCAGCTTTTGTACCTGCCTTTCGTCTCTTTCTGCTGCGTCTGATGTGTCAAACAAGGGTGGGGGAGCTTGTCCCACATGAGCATTAATGGGGCTCCTCACCACAGCCTCAGCAAAATGGCAGGAGGTTTAATGGGCCTTAGTGTCTAACACCCACCCCCCCAACTTCTGCCAAAAGTCCTGGCTCCCATTCTCTTCCACCAGCACAAGCCACCAAAACAACTTCCTTGCCAGAGTCGGGCATAGAACCCAAGAGTCCTGGCTCCCAGTTCCCCCTGCTCTAACCACTAGACCCCACTCCCTTCCCAGAGAACCCTGAGAAGTTTCAGTACATCCAAATTCAAGGTAATATGTCTGGGAGCCAACAATGCAGGTTCAGGCAGTGACTCAGAAAAGGACGTAGCTGGCATCAAAAATAATTGCCTCAATATGAGCTCCCAGTGCAGCCCTGCAGCCAAAAAGGCTAATGTGACCCTTGGGTGTACGAGCCGGGATAGCGAGTAGCAGGGAATGATCTTGCCTATGCCCCCAGTATCAGTGTGATTGCTGCTCGAATGCTGTGTTCGGTTCGGGTGTACACACTTCCAGCAGGGTGTGGAACGTTCAAAGGAGGGCCACAAAAATGAGCCAGGGTTGAATGATGGGCTCAGTCTATTCAGCTGATCGAAGCTAAGGGTGAGAGCTGGGTGTAGGTACTTACACTTGGAAAAGAGAGCAGGTAGTGGAGACTTTTCACCACGGCTGCAAAGACATAGCAAGACCCAACAGCTGGAAGTTGAATTTAGACCGATTTAACCTTGATCTCAGATGCAAGTTCCACAGTCATTCGAAGGGCTTTCCCGAAGAGGTGGAGGGATTCACCATTGCTTGGAGCCTTTAACGAGACATCTTACTTTAATCCAGCACCTGGGAGAAATGATACAGCCAGTGTGTGCTGGAGGGCTTGGGCTGGATGGGTGTGGTAGTCTGTTTTGGCCATGGAATCTCTGAATCCCTCTGTTCATTCCCTTTCCTGTCATGTCACAGGGGGTGATCCTCTTTCTGCAGAGCCATATGAAGTATCTGGGCCCGGGCCTCAGCTCAGCTGGGATCTCCAGGAGCCAGACCAGTGCATTTTCAAAGGAGAGTGGCCTGGCTGGCTTAGGGGGCAGGGGAAGGGGCTGCTGGCTCTGATCTGGGCCTCGGGCTTGGAAGGGACTGGTTGGTGCGGGGGTATGGGATACAGGGCCTTTCCCCTCCTGGGGACACAGGCACTGGGGCCTGTACTGTGGGTCAGTCAAGTTGGGGGTCCCAGCATGGCTCCTAGGGGGACCATCTTCTCTCTTGGAGGCTGGATCCAGGAGGAAGTCAGGTTCTTGGGGTGACTCCTCCCTTGCAGGAGCTGCTCTGCTTCCACTCTCTGCCCGCCCCCCTCCCGTCGCCGCGCGCCCCAGAGTCAGTGGGGGTGGATGTGGGGAGGGAGGCGGGGCGGAGACAGTCCCCACGGATCCGGAACCCTGAGTTGCTACGGTTAGTCTCCCCCGGAAGGATCCTTTTGAGTGCGACACCGTATCTGGCTAGGGGACTGTTTTCCGGTTACTCCCATCCACAGCCATTGGGTTGTCGTAGCAACAGATCCTGCTAGTCCTGCAGAAGGACATGGCGGCCGCCGCCTCCTCCTCCTCCAGCAGCGAGAGGTGTGTGGGGGAGGGAGGGTGTTGGTGATCCCTGAACCCCTCTTTCATGGGCCTGGTTAACTGGGGGTGGCAATGACTGGGATCCTCTTCCCAGCGCAGGGAGGGGCTGGGAGCCAGGACTCCTGGGTTCTATCCCAGCTCTAGGAGGAGAGTGGGGGCTAGTGGTTAGAGTAGGGGAGGGGCTGGGAGCCAGGACTCCTGGGTTCTAGCCCAGCTCTAGGAGGGGAGTGGGTTTTAGTGGTTTGAGCAGATGGGGAGGGATTGGGGCGGCTGGAATTTCTGTTCCATGTGTTGATTGAAATATATCCCAGTTTCTCACTGTCGCTCTGTGTCTACCTGTCTCTTTGTGTCCCCACCCTGTCCACATCCCTCTCCAGTAATGAAGCCAACTCCAAATGGCTGGATGCCCATTACGACCCCATGGCCAATCTCTACACCTTCTCCTCCTGCATCGGTAAGTCCAGGATCCTCCCATAAAGTGCCCTGAGCTGAGAGAGCTGGGGAATGGGCCAGTGGGATTCTCCTGGGTGGAGGCCCATTGAGTGGTTAGAGGGAGGGAGGGCCAGGAGTTCTGGCTCTGCGAGGTGAGTGAGGGCTAGTGGTTAGATTGGAGGGGGGCTGGGAATCGGGACTTTTTGTTTCTATTCCAGTGGTTATAATATGTGGGCGGTGGGGTGCTGAGAATCCAAACAGCTGGGTTCTGTTCCTGCCCCTGCCATGTTGTCTCTGTAGGTGCTTAGATAAGTCCCTTCCCTTATCTGCCCCCCACATTCTCCATCAATAACTTAGTGAGGTACCTTGCAAAGGAAGCTCTTCTCAAGGGCACTTAAGCACGTGTGGTGCTGGCGGATGGCAAAGCATAGTTATGTACAGAGCCATGGGATCCCAACCCTGGGAATACGAAATAAACCCTCCCACCCACCCAGGTTTGTTAACACTCAATGGGAATGGGACTCCATAGTCTCCTGTCTCTCAAGGTGAGTGTGTGAGATGCACAGCCACAGCAAACAGGACGTGGAACTTAAAAACACAGGGAAAGGCAATGAAGGGGACGGTCTGATGCTTATTTAACTCTGAGGCCTGGTTGGCAGGAAAGTGTTGTCCATTAAGGATTTAACCCACTCCCACCCTTCAGTGACAGAGCCCCAGCTCCACATCTCTAGGTCCTCCAAGGAGAACTCATTGGAAAGCAGCTGTTGCATTCCTGATAGTGCTGGGAAGAAAACTTTATAACTGTGTTCATTATCTCTTCCCAGAACTGGGGATAAACCCAGGAGTCCTAGCCCCCCAGTTCTAACGTCCTGGACCCCACTCCCCTCCCAAAGCTGAGGTTAGAAGCTTAAATAAATAATTAATGGAGATATCCCATCTCCTAGAACTGGAAGGGACCCTGAAAGGTCATCGAGTCCAGCCCCCTGCCTTCACTAGCAGGACCAAGTACTGATTTTGCCCCAGATCCCCAAGTGGCCCCCTCAAGGATTGAACTTGATTGAGCTTGGTTCCCAGCCTGCCTCGGATCACCATTAAATAACTAACTGTAGCGCATAGCAAGCAGCCCTGGATTTCAGGGCCCTGTGTAATCCTTTCTAATTGTTGTATGCAGTGTAGTTGTAGCTGTGTCAGTCCCAGGATATTAGCGAGACAAGGTGGGGGATTGAATATTTTTTATTGGAACAACTTGTGCCGGTGAGAGAGAGAGAGAGAGACACTTTCAGAGTACCTTTCCCACACCTGAGGAAGAGCTCTGTGTAGCTTGAAAACTTGTCTCTCTCACCAACAGAAGTTGGTCCAATACCTTGTCTCTCTAACCCCTTCTATGGCACCTTGCCTTCATCATGTCCACCACTAACGTCCCTGGGAGGGGAAGATAGATGGGAGCTGTGCTGTTAGGGATAATGACTAATACTGCTGGGCTCATGCTAGCTAGGGCCTGTGGAGGGCCACCCATTACAGGGGTCTCCCCTAGGGTATATCCCCCGACCTTTCATGCCACTTGTGGACATTTATGAGACCCTGTTGAGAGCATCCCAGAGGGGAACTAGACGCACAGCAGTGATAGACACAGCCCTGTGGTTACAGAGCACTGAGCATAGTGGTTAGATGGTCTGCCTTACAGAGCTGGGGATAGAACCCAGGAATCCTGGTTCCCAGCCCATCTGCTCTAACCACTAGTCCCCACTCCCCTCCCAGAGTTGGGGATAGAACCCAGGAGTCCTGGCTCCCAGTCATGCTCTTACACTCCATGCTTCCAGAGCCCCTTTCATCTCAAAGTCCTTCAAATTATTACATGGCTCTGGAGCACAAGCCTCCTCAGTTGGTATGGAATGAGCCAACGCATCTGCGAGGAGAGAACACCTCCTACTAATTCCACTCCCTGCAGCACAGTGCCCCCTGTCACTACGCTGGGGCACTGTGGTCAGCATTAACTGGGAGGGGAGAGTGTCCCCTTGGTCTCCCGTGCAGATACTGGGCATGGCTGGACCTGGTTAGCACGGGAGGGAGGTTGTCAGGGATGCTGACTCCACATCTCTCTTTTGTTCCAGCACTGGCTGACCTGCATGGCGATGGAGAGTACAAGGTGAGGAAGGCTGGCCTGCCTGCCCGCCCCCCCCACCCCCCCCCCGGCAATGGGCCTATCCAGCCTGGTACCTCCCCGCACCACCGCCTCCCAGATCAGCCTGGTATCCCTCACATTCCACCCTGGCTTTGGCAACCCCCCGCCAGGGGCAAACAGCATCTGGATGGGGATTGTGTCTCTTGGGGCGGGGTGTGGACAGACGTTCAAGGTGGGGGATTGTGTCTCTTGGGCTGGGAGTGAGTATTCTGGGCCGGTTGCCTCTCTGGGCAGGAGGGAGTGAGGGTGCCTGTGCCCAGCCCAGAAGGTGGGAGCTGCCCTGGGGTGGGGGGTGAGGACCCCCCAGCACTGCCCTTCTGTCTCTGTCTCCCCCCCCAGCTGGTGGTGGGTGACCTGGGCATGGCTGGGCACACCATGAGGCTGAAGGTGTACCGGGGCACAGGGCTGGCCAGCGAGAGCACCTTGTTGGACCTGCCGTCTGCCGTCGCTACCTTCCTGATGGACCAGAATGAGCCACGCACGCCTGCCGTGGCTGTGGCCTCCGGCCCATTTGTCTATGTCTACAAGAACCTGCGGCCCTACTTCAAATTTACCCTGCCCCCCCTGGATGCCAACCCCCTGGAGCAGGACGTCTGGGAGCAGGCCAAAGAGGTGAGCAGGTGGGGGGTGGCATGGCCATCCCAGGGTACCAGTCCACACCCCTGTCCCCCACCTCAAACCAATGGGCCCACCCCTCCCTGGCACTCCACATCAGACCCAGGTCTGGGAGTGGAGTCTAGTGGTTAAAATGGAGGCTCTTGGAGCCAGGACTTCTGGGTTCTATTCCCAGCTTATAGTCATGTGCCTTCCCATCTCTCTCTATCTGCATCTCGTTCCAGGACATGATCGACCCCCTGACTCTGAAGGAAATGCTGGAGGGGATCCGGTGAGTGGCTCTTCCTTCCCCCCATGGACTGTCACATCACCATGCCCCCCCAAAAACTCCGTCCTGGTCCTTGGCTTAGCAAGTGCTGGGAGGTAATGCCAGAGGCATTTAACATTCGATCCCTGGGTATGGACTCTGGGGAGATCCTTGAGGTTAGAGCTGGGCATGCTGAGAACCAGGACTCCCGGGTTCTATCCCCAGCTCTGGGAGGGGAGTGGGATCTAGTGGTTACAGTAGAGGGGGTGGGAAATGAGGACTCCTGTGTTCTGTTCTGGGTTGTGGATGGCAGGGTCTGTGATGGTGAATGTATCGTACTGAGTTTCTGTCCAATGTCTTCCTCTCTGTTCAACATCTTCCTCTCCTGGTGTGTGTCAGGGACAAGGCGGAGATCCCCCTGTCGGTACGATCACTGAGGTAAGGCCATATGGTACCACTGAGGGCAAGGAGTGGCATGAACACCTCACCCTCCAGCGATTTCCTGGCTAGCACCAAAAACGTGGGCTGGGAGCTCTAGGAGCCTGGCTTTTTTAGGGGATTGGAGCAGGGAGATTGAGGCTGGTGGCCAAGGGAGAGTGTGTGAAGGGGTCAGGGATGGATCCTGGCAGCGGGGAAGGCAGATGGTGTAGGGAGCACAGGCTGGGGGTTGGGGATCAGGGAGGGATCTCAGCAGTAGAGCAGGCGGGTAGTGTGGGGAGCACACAAGACTAGGGGGAGGCGAGTGGTGTGTGGAGCACAAGCTGAGGGGGGGATCGGGGAGGGATCTTGGCAGTAGGGCAGGTGGGTGGTGTGGGGAGAACAAGCTGGGGCGAGGGGGATCGGGGAGGGATCTCGGCAGTGGGGGAGGCGGGTCGTGTGGGGAGCACAAGCCGGGGAGGTGGGGGACTGGGAGGGATCTCGGCAGTGGGGGAGGCGGGTGTGTGACGAGGGTTGTGTGGGGAGCACAAGCCGGGGAGGTGGGGGTCGGGGAGGGATCTCGGCAGTGGGGGAGGCGGGTGGTGCGGGGAGCATAGGCCGGGAGCGGGGACGTTTTCCCAAAGCTTGGAAGGCTCTCAGCAGCAGAGCTCCTGTTCTAAGGGGTAGGGGGGACACTGGGCCAGAGGAGGCTGTGTCACTATCCCACAATCCCCTTCTCTGTCTCCCCCACCCCCAGGTTCCTGGCCCAAGATGTACCAGAGATGGAGAATTTTGTGAACCTACATAAGGGGCAACCGATCAAGCGCCAGGTGTGTCCCTGCCCTGCCCTGGGTCTGGGGAAAACTCCCCAGTGGACCCTCCCAGAGTAGGGGACTCGGTGGAGTGGGGGTTAGAGAAAGGGGGTATTCTAGCATTGCCAGTTCCCCACCGATGTCTTGTGGGTCCCAGCAGGGCCATCCGGGTACCCTTACTTCCCAGCATGCCCCTGGGGAGACTGGCACTGCCCTCCCTGGGTAGAGAGGGGGACTGGGGAAGGGGGAGGTTCATGCCCATCTCCCTGTCCAGACTGTCATCACCTGCATGAGCACGCTGAAGAAGAACATGGCGGATGAGGACGCGGTCA